ATCTTAGGCTTCATTTTTCCCTACTTTGAGTTTCCCTTGCACTCTCAGCAATCCTCCTGCCTCAGCGTTCTGAGTGCAGGGATTACAGGTGTGTACCATCATGTCCAGCTCTATTACAATTAGTGATCTTTAACTTTAACTTATATACTAGAAAATACACAGGTTTGAAGTTAAAACCCTCATTTTTGGTTTTTGACAAATATACGCACCTATGCAACTATCAACCCAACTTAGATGAAGAGGTGCTTTGTTAAAAATAAATTTTGCCCATCAACTGGAGACTTGATAAAGATGTGTTTTTTTAATAAAATGGAGTACTACTCAGCCATAGAGAACGAGAAACTAGAGACATTTATAGTTAAGTTGATGCATATTGAAGCCATACTTTTTTTTTTTTTGTACCAGGGATTGAACTCAGGACCTTGTGCTTGAGAGGCAGGCATCAGAACCACTGAGCTGAATCCCTGGTCCCCCACTTTAGGATTTTTTTGTTGTTGTTACTTATTTTTTGCGGTACCGGGGATCAAACTCAGGACCTTGCACTTGCCAGACACCACCAAGCACCAAGTTACATCCCCAGCCCTGTTGTTGTTACTTTTTGTTTTTATTTTGAGACAAAGTTTCACTATGTATCCCAGGCTGGCCCTGAACTCACAAGGTAGCCAAGTCTGGCCTCCAACTGGTGGCAATCCTTTTGCCTCAGCCTCCCAGATGCTAGCATTATAGCCGTGTGCCACCATGGCTGGCTTAGACACTTTGGAAAGAATACTGAAATGAGACACAAACTCTGCTTCCCAGAAAACTCAGTCTGGTAAAGACAGAGCTTGTAAGAGTTCACACATACTGAGCAGAAGTGGCTACAGGGGTCTGTTCTTTGCTACATCCAGCACAATCCCTCTTGGCAGAGGGACAGAACACCACAGCCAAGTCCTGCTGTCATAAAAGTCAAATACTTTCTTTGTTTTCTTTTCTATACATCTTTTTTGGGGTTTTGTACCAGGAATTGAACTCAGGGATTCACACTTCCTAGGCAGATGCTACACCGCTGAGCTACATTCCCGGCCCTTTTCTATACATCTTTGACATCTATAAAAGATGTTTTATTGTGTGTATGTGTGTGTTTTTCTTTTTCCTTTTTTTTTTTGCTTGTCAGCATTTTCTAATTTTCCACAATAAACATATGAGGTATGATTGAAAAATACGGTGTTTAAATTTTTAAAAAATTATTACAATAAATGATACTGTCATTAACCCCACTCAAAATACTCTCTCACTTTGAACACACTTATCCCATCATTCTGGTCAGTTTTTGAAACAGTACTGGAAGTTCTCTTTCATGTCTTTTTTTTTTTTTTTTTTTGAGAAACGCTGGTCTTGAACTCACTTGTTATGCCTGGCCTGAATGAAACCTTCACAGCAAACATGCCATGTTCAGCAAACAGGCTGCCCTCAACAAACAGAACAAATGGACATAAAGAAAATTTAGGATGGAATATACAATCTCCCCAGCTCTGAAGAGTCTGGTATTGTATACATATCTGTACTGACTGTCCTTGGACCCTTAAGCATAAACATTCCACTGCAGATCATAGCCCCACTTCTAAAATCCTACAAAAGCCTAATTTCTCTCCCAGCCAGCTGCTGAAATCTTCCCCGATTTCAGTCTCTGCTTGCACCCAGACAGGGTGCTCACACAAAGCCTGTGTCTGAATGGTCTCTCATGCGGCATTTGTAACATCACTATGTAGCACAGGCTGGCCTCAAACTTGCAGCAATCCTCGTACCTCTGCCTCCTGAGTGTTGGGATTACAGGTGTAGGCCACCACATCTGGTTTCTTTTTTTTTTTTGGTACTGGGGATCGAACTCGGGTCCTTGCACTTGAGCGGCAGGCGGCAAAACCACTGAGCTAAATCCCCGGCCCTGGTTTCTTTCATATGCTGTTCTGGCTACCTTAATGTTTTGAATTCAAAATGTTTACCTTTCATGGTCCTTTTGATTTTGGGAAAGAGCGAGAAGTTGCACAGTGTCAGATATGGTGAACAAAGTGGGTGAGGACACACTATAATTTTTTTGTTTTACAAGCCTGTCTTTTCATTGGATGTCATGTGGTGGCAGCATTCACCATATTTTTTATCCTACCTTATAAAAACATTCACAAAAGAAGACTTCCAGAACTGCTTCAAAAAGTAACAAGAAGTCGGGCATGGTGGCCCACACCTGTAATCCCAGCAATTGGGAGGCTGAGGCAGGAGGACTGCCACAAGTTTGAGGCTATGTAGTGAGTTCAAGGCCAGCCTAAACTACATAGCAAGACTCTGTCTCAAAAAACAAATAAACAAGGATGGGGATTTAGCTCAGTGGTGCTGCTCAAAAGCACAAGGTCCTGAGTACGATTCTTGTTTTTTTCTTTTTTTTCTTTTTCTGAGTTTGATTCTTGGTACCGAAAACAAACAAAAAAGTGGCAAGAATGACAGCGTAAGTGTGTTTGAAAAGGAGTATTTTGAGGGGATTAACTTCAGTGTGTCTTTTATTGTAATAAATTTTTTAAAATTTTAACATTTTAGGCCAGGGATTTAGCTCAGTGGCTCTGGCGCCTGCCTTGCAAGTGCAAGGTCCCAAGTTCAATCCCCAGTACAAGACAAGGAAAAAAAAAAAAAAATCAACATTCACCATATAGTTTGATCATACTGTAAATATTTATTGTGGAAGAATTAGGAAATGCTGATAGGCAAAAGGAAGACAAATAGAAAATCTTTTTTTAGATGTAAAGATACTGTTCTTTCTTCAATAGAAAAAGAGCCTCATGGAACGCACCCTTTGCCCCTGTGTTCCTCACAATCCTGTCGTCTGGAGGTGGCCTAGGGTTGTGCCCTATGGTTTTCCCCTTAAATTACCTTCACCTGTGGTACCAGAAAGGGGAAAGTAACAAGTGCTCAAACTGAAGAACATACTTGAGGGCTTCCTGGTGGTCTCTGATTACCTGAGGATCAACAACTCCAGTGAGACTTTGGGCTGAAGACACCCACTATGGGTGCCCAGGTTGGGGACAGTGATGGGCCACAGAGCTTGGCAAGCAGCACTCAGGCCTTCTGCAGGACTCTTGCACAGGTGCTGCCCCGATTAGCTGGGTGTCTTTCTCCAGGCCACCCTCACCAGAGGGGAGACACCAGAGCTGATGCTGACCATACTTCAGTATAGAGAAATGATCAAACATGCTTTCTGCAAGTGGAGTGAGTCCACAGACGGAGTCCGTCTCACCTCTTGTCACGTCTAAGAAGCTTTCATATAGGACGCCTTGGCTACAAGAGGCAGAATCAGCCCTTCCAACACCTCAGCCGCTTCTATCTGATACTCCTAATACCTTAGTGACCCTGACCAGACCCACCTAGTAACCTCAAACCAGTTCTGCCAACACTCACTTCTATGACTTCAACTCAACCCTGCCAATACTCACCTCAGAGACTTCAATCTAGCCCTGCAAACATCCACCTCAGTGACTTCAACCCAGTCCTGGCCAACACCCACCTCAGTGACTTTAATCCAACACCCCTTACAACCACCTCAATGACTTCGATCCAGTCCTGCAGACACCACTTCATTGACTTCAACTCAGTCCCAACATTCACCTCACTGGCTTCCGTCTGACCCCACCAACATCTCAGTGATTTCAATCCGATCTGCCAACACGCACCTCACCAACTTTAATCCAGCGCCCCCAATGGGTTTTTCTTCCCCTGGGCCTCCTGAAATGGGAGAAATGCTATGAAGTCTATGAGTGGCAGGAAGAAGGCCAGGCTGAGCCCCTGGATGTCATGCAGAGAGGCAGGCAGCCATAGGCACAGGGTCCTGTCTGGAGCAGACACACCTGAGGCCTGAAGTCATAGAACATGCACCTGAACTTGTGACCTTTCTTTGAAAGTATCCAGACCCCAGACTAAACATTATTCCTACCTGCCCCAACCCGCTACTGCTGAGGACACTGCCTGGGTTGGAATCCGACCCTCAGGGTTTCTCTGGCTCTTTCACAAATAATGGTGTGCATCACAGTGAAACAGAGCTCCCAGGCACATCCCTCACACTGAAGCAGCACCATGTCTACAGCAGTCTGTTCATGACTTCCTTCCCTTCCAGCTTCAGCACGACAAACAGATCAGAAACCATGCTGGGAGGTCCAGGGAACAAAGAACAAGTACGGCCTCCACACCAGTGCACAAACCCTGTATACACATCCATACAACACCCATGCATATACACTGCTCCTCCACAGGCTGGACAAGCCCCCATATCCTGCTCTGTGCTGCTGCCACATCCCACTCCTGAGGATCTGACATGGCCTCTGGTTCAGAGCCCACCTTCAATACCTCTACTCTACAGTCGTGACTTGTGATCCAGTCTGGGCACCCTCAGCAGCCTTGTAATTCTGAGGGGTCCTGTGCAGACACAGGGAAGACACCTCTGGTGAACAAGCGACATTTCAACAGCTTGACGAGGCCACTATGGTGGCTGTGCTAGGCTCAAGGAACACTCTGCAGCCGCAGCTGTGAAGACAATGCTGACAGCTGGCAAACTGGGGACCTAGGCACCACAATCAGAGGGGGCCGCAGGAGACTACACCCTGCAAATACAGTTGCGCTATTAGGGGAAATCCGAAGTTCAGATATAAAAATACCCTGAGGAAGGAATATAGCAACTCAAAAACAATCAGGAGAGCCGAGGAAGCTGGGGATTTAGCTGAGTGGTTCCGCAGCCTGCCTCCTGCCTCCCAAGCATAAGGTCTTGAGTTCGAATCCCCGATACCAAAAAAAAAAAGGAGAGCCGGGCATGGTGGTACATTCCTGTAATCCCAGCACTCATGAGGCTGAGGCAGGAGGATTGCTGTGAGTTCAAGGCCAGCCTGGACTACATAGTGAGACTCTGTCTCAAAAAACTTCCCCCCTCCAAAAAAAAGATCAGGAGAAGCATCCATTTGAAAGACAACAAAGATCACTGCTGGTCTTACCTGTGCACCCCTGGAGTAGGACCTGAAGATGGTACAGAACCTGCCCTGGCCCGACGTGTCCCTGAAACACATAAGGAAGGTCAGGAGGAACGACAGCTGTGGGACCCTCCGGGGTACAAATGTGGTCCCTGTGTGAGAAGCTTCCATCCCACCTTCTCTTACTCTGCAGTTCACCCTGAACATGGTGAGAAGACCCGGGGGAGGATGACACAGATGGGCTGTGCCAAAAGGGTGCCAAATGCACAGATCATGCCAGCCCAAAACCTTTATACTACCTAGGCAGGTAGCAGAGGGCTCCAGCCTTCATCTGCCTGTCAAGTGAGTCTCTCCACTGGGCCCGGGAGCCTGGGACATTAGCTGGACAATCAGCCCTGTGGGTATTCATGTCTTGACTTTGAAGCTCTGGGATATGGTCTTTTTTTTTTTTTTGGTACCACAGATTGAACTCAGGACCATGCGCTTGTAAGGCAGGTGGCAGAACCACTGAGCTAACCCCTCCCCCGCCACCCACACCCTCTGGGATATTGGCAGAATATGGTCTTTAAGGTGAAGCCCATAAAAGGTTGTAGAAAAGGGATATGGCCACTGTGGAAACACAGGCAAAAAGGGAAGGGGGTTCTATCAGAACTAAATGCTCTAGACTTTGTTTTTCCCATCATGGAGCAAAATCCAGTTTGAACAGGTTCATCGCTTTTCGGCCTTTTGGCTAAAGATCAAGTGTAATTTGAACAGGTTCTATTTAAATGGCTATTGAAAGTTATAGTAAGTTGGGCATTCTCCTGTTTTCTCACTTGGCTTCCTTGTCTTCATCTGATCACCCTGACTCACCAGAGCTCCAGCTTGACACGTCGGCCGTCCAGCAGGATGGTAGTTGTCTTGTAGTCAATTCCTGGGAGGAAGCATGGGGAGAGATGACCATTAGCAACTCCTCACCGAAGTCTGCCACAAAGTAGAGAAAAGCTTCCCCTATTCCCACAGTAACGTGCTCAGGAGCAGGATGCTCACTGCCCTAGGCTGTGGCATTCTCAAGACCCCAACACAGCACATGGCAACCATGGGGGTCAGGGCAGAACATCAGTTGCATGTTACCTATGCCACCCTCTCCATTCTCTCCTGAGGCTTGACCCCAGCATTCCCAGAGGAGGACAGCTAATCTCCACTCTGACCTACAGTTTATAGACTCTAAAGGTGAACTCTCAAGGGATGACGCATTTCCCAGTTCTCAGGTTCACCACAGCCTCCCCCTGGTGCTGGCAACTGGAGTGTGCTTAAAGCACTGTCAAGGGTGAAGCAATCTTTTATTTGTTTACTTATTTTAATTTTATTTTGATACAAGGCCTCACTATGTAGTTCAGGCTGGCCCTGAACTCACTATGTAACTCAGGCTCACCTCAAACTCCAGTGATCTTTCTGCCTCAGCCTCCCAAGTGTTGGGATTATAGGCCTGCACTACCATGCCCAACGAGGATAAAGTAATCTTTTAAAATGTTGTTTTTCTGAAGAGCTTTCCAGAGAACTTATGCTTACTATATTGTGAAGGTTAGTTTTTAGACTTTTATGGGGAAAGGTCAGTGCAAGAGAAGTTGGTGGCAGCAGGCAGCACTGGATACTTAACTTACAGGCAAAAATCAGAGCCTTTCCAAAAGCACCTACCTATAGCACTTAGTCACCATTCTCACTCAAGACTTAAAAACATATGAACTTTTTGCCCTTTTTTTTCAGTACTACTTGAATATTGAACCCAAGGCCTCTACACTGAGCTATATTCTCTGTCATTTTATTTTGAAACAGGATCTCACTAAGTCATTAAGTTGCCCAAGCTGGGGCTCAAACCAAAACCCATGCTGCCACTTCATATCTAGGGGACAGGTAGATTCAGAACAAGATCCTCCTGCCTCAGCCTTCTCCAAAGTGTTAGGATTACAGGTATGGGGCACCATGCTCAGCTAAGTTCTCACCTTTAATAACTGTTGCTCCACAGGTGCTTGGAAATGGGCAGTTTTTAAACACAGGTGTCATTCTCACATGAAGTGTGTATCTGTATGTCTGTTTCTGTGTGTATGTGTGTGTGTGCACGTGCACGCACGCGTGTGCAAGCTTGCAGAATCCACCCTACAGGATTAGGATCACCACATAGCATCCTCCTTCAGGCATCAGTAGCTCCTTATGGGCCATTCTTCTGCCTTGTCTATTAACTGCACATCAAAATCTGTTTCTCATACATCAAAGGACAGAATTGACATAATGAAAAAGGTAACCCAGAGAATGGAAGAAAATATTTGCAAATTGTGTATCTTTCAACTCAACAATAAAAAGACAACCTTATTAGAAACGGCCAAGGTCTTGAACTGATATTTCCCCAAAGAAGACACATCAATGGTAATAACCACAAGAAACAATGCTGAGCACTGCCAGCCATCAGGAAACACAAACCAAAACCCCATGCTGCCACTTCACATCTAGGGGACAGGCAGATTCAGAACAAGAGATGGCTAATACAACAAAGATGTGGAGAAATGGAACCTACACTGTTGGGGCCTGTAAGCGCCAGCCACACAACCATGCAAGTGTCCATGGTGCAACTGAGTTGTGCACCTGAACACAGTTAAGATATCAGATCTTTTTTTTTTTTTGAAAAAAGGTCTCACTGTGTAGTTCAGGTTGGCCTTGAACTCACTATGTAGCCCAGATTGGCCTCAAACTCATGGCAATCCTTCTGCCTCAGCCCCTCTTGAGTGCTGGGACTACAGGCATGTACCATCACACCCAATAAGACATTAGATCTTACGCTAAGTGGATTCACATAAAAAGTAAGGATGTTTTGTGTACACCCTCAGGGAGAGACAGTGCTCAGGCCTAGCCCCAGCTCTCCTGTGCCCTCTTCTCAGCACCCCTCTGATTCTCTGATTCCTGGAATTCTGTCCAATATGAATCTCAATGCTGGCAGCTGCAGCTTCTACAGGCCTGTGAGACACTGTGGCAAACTGATTTCAATGTTCCTCCTTGAGACTAGGGTTACTTCCATGGGAAGATCTCGCAGGACAGCCTTGATTGAGCTGGGGGACTCTTTGAAACTCATACTCCTAGGAAAGGTACTGCTCTGCTACCAACTCACCCCTAGATGGTGCTGTGGCCCCATGCCTGGCCAGGAAGCTCCACTGCCTGGGTGCCTGGGAAAAGCATAGAAAGACTTTATGCCACAGATCTAGGGTATAAAGATTCATGCCAATGCCTCAGCCTATGACCACCACTGGAAGCACTGTCCTCAGAGAGGCTCTGAGGCCATCCCTGACATTGACTCAGCTGTCCAGTGTGACTACTTTTTGAAAGACTCACCCAGAAGATACCTGCCTTTGAGACCTGATATGTTTATGCATTTACTACTCTTACAGTGAGCACAGGACAGAGGAACCCTAGCCCTGTGAGGACCCTGAGCTCTTCCAGAACAGAAACACTCTGAAGCACTGAGGATCAGGCCCAGCCACTCAGAAAAGAGGCTATTGAGAGGGTGGGAGGGTTCTACTCTCTGGACACCTGCTGGCTGCACACACACTCAGCTGTCTTATGCTCTTCGGGGAACAGGACCACATTCTGTGAGCACAGTCTGTCGAGGGTCTTGCTGCTGGTAACTTAAGGTTGCTGGCCTCAGAATGCAACTTCAGAGGAGTTTTTTTTGTTGCTATTGTTTTGTTTTTTGAGACAAGGTCTCACTATGTTTTCCAAGTTGGCCTTGAACACTAGCCCAAACTGGCCTCGAACTCGAAAGGATCCTCCTGCCTCGGCCTGAGTGCTGGGATTACAGGTGTGCACCACCACACTCGGCTTCCAGAAGAGATCCTGACTCTCAAAGAGAAGGGATTGGGGCCTCACAGGGACAAGTCTCCATTCCCTGCCAGTCTGGCACCAACATGGGCACATGAGGAAAGCTGAGTAGTATAGGACCCTGTAGATCTACAGAGATGAGAAAGAAGCAGGTTCCTAAAGTGGACAGTGGTGTTCAGCTGAGGGCAGGTACAGGGAGCCTGTCAAAAACAAAATCCCCAAAGGCTCAGATGAAAGCAGAGTTCTCAGGCTTGGAAAATCTGGTCACAGATAACTAAAAAATATCAAGCATTCTCTTTATGTACTCGATCCTCTCACTCACCTCCCAAATGTGTATAATTTATTCGTGTAGCCAGTAGCACATACCTGTAATCCCAGCACTCTGAGAGACTGAGACAGAGGGATCAAAAGTTTGAACCAGCCTGAGTACCTTAGTGATTCAATGAGCTACTATCTCAAAATAAAAAATATAAAAAGGGCTAGGGATGTAGCTCAGTGTGAAGGGCCCTGGATCCAATCCCCAGTACACACATACCCACACCCACCCACCCCTTGTTGTTGCTTTATAAAATAGACATCAATTTCAGGAAAAAAAAATAGACATCAATTCCAAAAAGACTTGCCCTTAGAATGACAGAGTGTGTCTCTGCCTAGGTCAGGTTGGTCAGCCAAGTGTCATGAACCAGCCCTGATGTTTCAATTGCTTCTCTTACCTCAGTCCTTAAAGCATTGCCTTGCTTTCTTTTTCTTTTTTCTTTTTTTTTTTTTTTTTTGAGACAGTCTTGTTATGTCGTTCAGGCTGGCTTTGAACTCACCATGTAGACCAGGCTGCCCTTGAACTTACAGTGATCCTCCTGTCTCAGCCTCCCAAATGCTGGAATTACAGGTATGTGCCACCATGCCTGGCCACTGTGCTGCTTCTTAAAGGATGATGGAGGCAGGCATGGTGGCACATGCCTGTAATTCCAGCACTTGGGAGCCTGAGGCAGGAGGATCACAATGAGCTCAAGGCCAGACTGGGCTACATAGTGAGACCTTGTTTCCCAAAAAATTAAATAAATAAAAATAAAGGATGATGGGCTAGGGGTGTATTACAATGGTAGAGCACATGCTCAGCATATATGAGGCCCTGGGTTCAATCCCTAGGACCAAAAGTAAAAATAAATAACAAGTGGGAGTTTTAATCAAAACATTTAAAATTTGTAGTGTAGCATGACCATTCAGAATAGAACATTAGCTATCAGGAGATGGTTCAGTTCTATAGATGTCCAAGTACTGGCCAGGCAAGCCATGTAGCAGTTCATCCAGGTCTCAGACACGAAGCACAGGCACTGAACTAGTGGACTCGGCTTAAAGAGGCCACAGGGGTCCAGCAGCAGGTGATCACAGGTAGAAAGGCAGTTGGCTTTAATGTCAGCTCTCCCTAGTCCTTCCTTTCTCAAAGCCTGAGAGGGTACAGGCTAGTTCTCACTCTGAAAAGCATAATTTCTTGAGCTTCAAAGTCCAAACTCAGCTTCCCCTCCTGCTGTTCTCAGCTTGGTCAAGCAGCAGCCAGAAGCTACTGTAGGAATTAGGGTCCCCTGAGCCTCTTCCCTAGCAGGACTGGATGCTCTGGACATTTTAGCCCCAAGGTGCAGTGATAAGGACTCCAGTGCTTCCCACGCTCATCACACAGCCCTGAGGTGGCTCTGTACCCAGCAGCCACAGGAAGCACAGTCCAGGGGAGAGGAGGACGGTCAGAGTGCTGACATCCACATTAAAGAGTTGTGCCAGGACCACCCAGAGGGAGCCCTTGGTCTGAACGGTTTCTAAGAGGAGCAATTATCCAAGGCTTAAGGGTGGGGAGGCATGGGGCAGGCCTGAGAGAAGGGTGGGGGAAGATGGAGCAGCACAGCAGCTGGAGGCAGAGCAGTGATCTGGAACAAGGCCTGGATCTTGGGCACTAGGGGATGGTGGGGCACAGAGGGCACAGGCTGGCAGAGTTGTCGGAGCCTGGGGAAAGACATCAGCAGTTTGAAGTCTGAACCACACCCATGGGGGATCCACCAGTGTCGACAAGAAGCCTAC